TAGTTATATCAATGTAAAGAATAGTAACTTAATATAATAATGCAAAACAACTAATAATAACAATAATAAGTATTATTAATAGAAATAATTACAGTTACTAAAAAAATCAATCATTGTGATGGGAGCTGCGGGGTCCTAGAGACGGATGGCGTTGTTACCTTTGCGGACCTGCTTCTTGGTGGTCTTCCTGCAGCAGTGGTTGAAGCCCGGTACGGGTTTGATGTCGCTCTTGCTGACAGGTGGGGGGTGCAGCACTAGTTTGGGCGGCCGGGTCAGGCAGACGGGTAGCGCCGCAGCGCTCATCAGGATCCCTGTGATCCCTGGAACACAGAGAACAGGCGTTTGATTCCGTCATCTAATCGCCGCCGCCTCTCTGCGATCGATGCCTTGGTTCTTACCTGCCAGCGCTGGGTGGACCGGACTGGACCCGTTCAGGTTTTTCACCGGGACGGTGGGAACGCTGAGGAGAAAAAAAACACACCGGTTAGTCTGCAGCTTTCCCTCCATCCTCTCAGGCAGCGGCTGAGGGATACTCACTGGCAGAGGCGGATGACGGTCATTCCCAACATAAACAACCGACTGAACACAGAGGCAGAACCGAGTCCTCACAGAACCAACAGAACCAAACGCCTGTTCCTCCTCCTCTGACTGGGAGGACTTCCTGAGCTGTTTATTAGAGCTAATCCCGCAGGTTTCCATCTGCTCACAGACGGACGTCACTCAGGGGATTACCCGCTTCGTCACAGAGCCGTCATCATCCTCAGACAGCTCACCCAGCTCATGGGAACTCTCTGATCACTACTTTACAGCTCCTACCTGTCACCATTTCCACCATCTGATCACTTTCTAGATCACTCCCTGACGACCTTGTGATGTCAGCCCCTTTAAGATAACTGAGACAACATCTGATCACTAGCACGACTCTTTCAATCACGCTCAGACGATCACTCTCTATCTACTCTCATGTTTCTTTGAACTATCGCTGAAACAATCAGATTAATTAATGATGTAAATAATCGTCAACTAATTTAGTAATCAGGACTCAAAAATATGCCTTTAAAAGACAAAGTGATCCACTGAGAGCAGGAATTACAGAAAGATTGCGAAAAAAAAATAAAAAAAACATTATGTACACTGGAAAAACTATCTAAAAATGAGCAAAAATGTCTTAAATTAATGGATTTACTCTTAATTTGAGTAGGTAAATGAGATGATTTGTGAATGGAATGAGTATTTTTACTCTTAAAATTAGATATTTGGATAAAATGCACTTGAAATAAGACAATGCAATTGTGTTTTCTTATTTTAAATGTAAATTGTCTTATTCCATTGGCAACGTATCTCACTTACCTCCTCAATTCAAGAACAAATGCACTTTAAAAAAAAAAAAAAATGACTAGATTTTGATTTTTTCCAGTGTATCTAAAGTCGTAGGGAAGCGGCTGTTCCAAGCGTTGCATTTACGAATTCTCCCGAGTGGTGCACGACTTTACACGAGTGAATAAAGTGAATGTGATTGGTCGTTTATCAAGGGAGCGGGTTTTTTGTGGCAGAAGGTTCGTAAGCAAGTTGTTGGTTTTGGCGGGTTCCTTGGAAGCATCTTGCTAACCAGTTAGCAACTTAGTGCTAGTAGGTTCCCAATGGGAAATTCCATTGGGACCAAGTAGCACTAAGTTGGTGACTTAGAAACGACACTGTCAAGGAACGCTATGGACAGAGGAAACATGCAAGAGGAGGAGAGTTTAGTGTCAGAGGTCGTGGATGAGTCTCCTCTGTCATACATTTTTTATTTAGTGGAGGAAAGCGGGGACGAAGATGTTGTGGAAGAGGACGCCAGGGCGGCAGAAGCTTGGTTTGGTGTAGAAGGCTTCCAGCTGTACATGTTTGAGCCCTTGCCTCGCAACGCTGCCAGTTCTGTTAGCTCTACGCCTGCTGAAGACACAGACGTCCATCCCCGTGAACACTGGGACAGAACTCCATGGGAAAGTAAACGATTCTCTTTTCTTATTCCACCTTTTGCGTATATTTGCTGCGACATATGAATCAAGATGCTATGACCGAAAACATTTGACTGACAGATGACTGTTGATATATGATTGGCTGAATTATTTAGGTGTTCAGGCTGACGTATAACTAACTGGACTGCATGAGATAACGGAAAATAACACAGATTTTAAGACAGGATTTTTTTTTTTATAGAAATGTTCTAAATTTTGGGACAGTATGGTCTGATAAAGAGCACATTTATATACATGTTTAAGCCAGAATGATTTGACATTTAAATATGAATTCCCTATGACTTAAATATGCTCCACCCAGAACTCCTGAAGTGGAAAATATTTAGTTTCACCTTTTTTTAATTCTGTATAAAATCTTCTTTAAGGAACCTTTTGCAATCTGATTAATCAAAAAAATAAAAATAAAAAAAATTGACAGATTGGTCGATTAGCCAAATAATAATAGTTGCAGCTCTACTTTGAACTGGTTCTCCGTTCACTCTTACGGGTCACTCTCTGATGTTATATTACAGGGATGTTTCCTAAATGCAGCAGCTAAGATTCAAGGTGAACATCTTTGACCTCCGAACTGTCAGGATATCAACACAGAAACCAAAACAGTTTGAGACGGATTTGAACCAACAGATGCGAAAACCTCCGAGGTAAAATACAAAAAAAATAAATCAAGCTGAATAGATAAAAAATAAATGTTCAAATAAAAATCAATGTCTGATCAGAAGGATTGTAGAAGCTGAGCTCAGAAGTGGTTGGATGTAGATCTGACTGAGTTTCCTTCTGTTTGTCCAGATGTTTTAACATCTTGATAGAAAGCTTATGACTTTATTAGTTTATTATGATCTTATTATTATTGTCTTGCTCTTTGAAGATCCGATAAGAAATAAAAGTCTGTGAATGAAGCTTTGAAGAAGCTGCTCTAGTCCAGATTAGGAGCTCAAACCCAAACCTAACTGGACCCAATAATATAAGAACAAAGTTTCACAATCTTGATTTGATAAAGAAAAATAATCTTTTTCCTGTTAAACTCTTTAGGTTTGGCAGGAAGTGGCAGCATGGGGAGAAATCAGAGGAAATGCTCACAGCTTTGCTTTCCTTCTGGGCAGTGAGGATGAAAATAATCCAGGAGCAGGTTCTTAATTCAGGTCAGAGCGGCAATGATGAATCGTTTCCTGATTTAGCGCTAAGCTGCTTTCAAGCATGACAGCAGTGGATGGGATGAGTCACAGAGTGGATCGTAAACAAGGTGTTTCACAGGTAAACACTGAACACACCATGAGGGAGGAATGGACACCACAGTGTCTTTTTGAAGGTCATGATTTTAATAGCATAGCTGACCGCCCCATAGGGACCAGGAGGTTCTGTAACACGACCCATATGCCCCCTCCCCACCCCACTGATGACGATGGGGAAATCCCAGATCAAATCTGTTCTAGATCAGCCAGTGACATCAGAGCTGATCTCACTCACTGCTGAGCGGCCGCCTGTCCACGGCTGGGTTCTGTTTAACCCTCTGCTGCGTTAGCATGGAAAGCTTTACAGCGTGAGCGCCGAGTCACGTCTCATCCTGCGTAATCCCGCTGCGGCTCCTTTTAACCCCGCCGCTGCTGGACGTTCTGTCTGCAAGAGGAAGCGTCCAGAACCGCCCCAAATATGGAAGAAGTACAGAACCCAGTTCATTCTGGTCAATGCCCAGGAGCTGGGAACTACTTTTTCTTTTAACTGATGGGCTGAGGGGGGACTGGGGGAAGGGGAACTATGTCCCCCTGATTTAAAATTTCCATTACTTTGAAACTAATGGATGCATTTTTATCCATTGCCTCAGTCCTCACTGCATGCATGTAGTTTTAGGTGAGAGGCAGAAATGAGAGGCAGCATTGGGTAATCAGGTGAAACTGTTTCAGAGAAAGAATAAATACTTTATTATATTTATGTAACTTGGTGGTTTGTTGGGTGTAAATTCCCACCCGTTTCGGGCCCTTGAACGCATCAATGCCCCGTTTCTCCACCTTCACGTCCGTTTTACAGCATTGATGGGCCCCATTAGTGTATATCGGCAGCAGGTGTTCACAGCAAGTTATGAGAGTCGGCTCTGTTTGGCGTGCAGTAGGGATGCACGATATTGGGATTTTGGCCGATATCCGATATGCCGATATTTTAAAACTCATGTAGCCGATAACCGATATCGATACTGATGTTAAACCTGGGCAAAAATAAGTAGTCATTGAAAATAGCAGTTTTTTTTTATCCATTTCTGACACTTTGAAAAATAATATACTCAAATATATTTTCATATGCTGATATCAAATTGATTTTTAAAAACGCGGTATCGATCTATTTTACTTTCAAAATCTCGTGAAATTTCATCGTTCTGTTACAAACTCTCGTGATATTTTGCAAATTCTTGTGAGATTTTGTTAGTAAAATAGATCGATACCACGTCAGTATATCAACATATAAAAATATGGCAAAATTTTGTGAATTTTCGGGGGATTTTGTAGCATAACGATGACATACAGCAATATTTAATTAATCATCCGCGCAAAACTGGGTCTGTAAGGTGCTGGAAAAAGTTAAAATGGATCTTGAAAGTGCTTGAAAAGTGCTTGATTTTGACTTTGGAAAAGGTGTACGAGCCCTGAAAAGCCGACTCTGTCAAGTAAATTTACCAAAGGCTGCCTTCTTCGCCTGACTCTGAGCAAACTTCCTGAATGTTACGGGCGCCGCCATGTTGATGTGCTTGTTTCCCTCTAGAGGGCAGCAGTACCGTAGATCGTCACTAGAAGGTGAGGTGCTAGCTCTGTGTGTAAATGGTCGTAAGGAACCAAGCTCAGCGCGGTTAACTGATCCAAGCTCGGCACGGATCTGTTTTCAGAGGATAGTGGAAACGGTGCCAAGGTCTTCATTGACAAAAACATCTTATTTGATGCAAGGATAAACTAAAGTGATTCAACCAATGTTCTCTGTCTCTGTTTCCTGGTTGAAAAAAAATAAGATTTTCTTTAGCCTTCAACATAAACCAAATTCAGTCTAAAAACTTCCTAATGAAAAACAAATGCTGCATTCAATGTTCTGAAAGAAAAAAACAAAACATGTACTGGACGATAAATCTGACACCGTTCTACAACGTCTGCTGTTATAGAGTAGGACGGGATTTAATCAAACCCTGGAAAGTGTTTCTCTCTCTGTTTCTTCTGTGATAAAGTCAAATCAGCTGGTAAAGTAACAGCAGTTCACCGAGCATGGCTTTAACTCTGCAGGAAGAGGAGCCCGACCAGGGGCCCTGTGCCTGGGGGGACGGGGACATGAATGGGACTCCTGACCTCCCCCAGCAGTTCACACACCTCCTCCTAGTCCAGATGGACGTCTGCACACACCCTCTCTCACGCTTCAGCCTCACATTCTTTCACAGAGCCAGGATTCCTCTGAAGGGGAAGCAGAGTTTGGACCCACGTCTGATTAAATAAACAGTCCGGGTTCTCTCAGAGGTGCAGAAGCAGCCAGGTGACCTCGGAGCTTCTGAGAGATCCATCCAGAACCATCCTGGAAGGTTTTAAATAGATCAAACCATCCTGATGCTGTCAGACACTCGCTCCCACCGTCTGGGTTCTGC